GAAAGGAAGATGAGCATAAAAATTTGATCTGAGGGTAGAGATTCGGTTCAACTTGAGTCAATATTCTGGGATAAGATTTTCAGTAATTGGCTTCCCTGATATATCTGACCTCTCTATATTCATGATCTTGTTTGGTTTATATTCATTTGACTGGGAACAGAGACCAGTATGTAAAATGGTATCCAACTGGATCAGAATTAACTTAGAAAAATTTGAGGGTGTGAAAGGAGAGGACCATTGATATAATTACTAGAGGAAATGTCTTAATTATTCAATCCATCACACCCCGGACAAAACATAACATCATCACTGATTTTTAATCCTATAAGTGTATCTCCTCCCTCCGAGCCTAACTACATTCAGCCACTCATGCAATCTCAAATATGTCCCCAAATATTGTTATTTAAGTCAACAGAAGGAACACTAGTTAATTGTCTTTTCCTTCTCCCCAGAAGGAATTTACTTTCTCCTTGACTCAGGACAAGCCAGCATCTTGAACTCCTGTGCATAATCCTCTTACCTCTGGCAGAGACAATGAAGTCCCTTCCCTTTCCTGCATTTATGCAGTTTAAGTCTGGTTCATCAACAAAGACTATTGTAACTATTTCTAAAGCCTTCTTGGGGAGATTTCTTTACTGGAGGATTTTCTCTGATGACTAGAGAAAAACAGCAATTCCATTTCCCCATGGATTAATTAATGGAAACCTCCTCCTCTGATCTTTTTTCATTAGTTCTCTTTAGTGTTAGGACTCCAAGAGTCTTCATAAATTGTGGGCCTCCTTTGATAAATCTATCAAATTTCTCAGAATAAATACACATGAATACAGATTCTTATGAAGTATTGCTTTCTACAGATTAGGGATTTTTTTTTCACTTCCCTACCTTCTGAAAGGATAATGGCATTTTTTAAGGCCTGTTGAGGTTCCCTGAGGAAGACACATTAACATTGTTGCCTGTTAGAAGCAGTGCTGTGAGAAGTTTACTTTGCTGAAGATACTTCTTTAGCACAGATTCTAAATGTAGACCACTACCTCACTGTTTGAGCCCACACATACCTAAATAGTTCCAGTGGTTCCGATGAAGACTTTAGCATGATGTGAGAATACCAATAATCTCTATATTGCAAAGAATATGGAACAATCTTAATAATCCCCTGTGTCCATGCCCCTTGCAAGGTGATTTGGCAGCAATTCCCATCGAGAAGTGGAAACTCTTTCTGTCCCCTGGGTCTCCCTTGGGACTTGGTTTGGCCATAGAATGCAACAGAAGGCTTTGTACGCCAGTTCTGAGCCTTGTCCTCAAGAAGCCCTGCACATACAGGCTCTGTCTCAACATCCTAACCAACCATCCTGTGAACAACGCAGACCAGCCTGCTGGAAGATGAAAGACCATGTGGAAGAAAGTATACTTATCTTAGTTAATGTTGTCCCAGTTCATCCAGCTATAGACAGCCAGCTACTGACCCTAGATACATGAGTGAACCAGGACTAGAAGAACCACCTATTTGATTCTAGCCTAAATTGCCAACCTATAAATTATGAGATAAATAAACTTCCTCTTTTAAGCCACTGATTTTGGGGGTGGTTTTGTTTTGTAGTACAAGATAATCAATAGGGTCACTTAAATCACCATTTCCACTTCCACTTTTGCTCCACTTCCATTCACTATTCATACTACAGTAAGAATGTTAATCTAATATAATTTCTTACTTAAATCTCTTGATTGTCTTTGCTTGGCAATTGGAATAAATTCCAATATCTCACAACATGACTTACAAAATTCTGCATATTGGCTGCACCTGGTTGATTGCTTCTTAGTCTTCAAGCATCAGCTTAAATGCTGCTTCATCAAAGAAGTGCTCCCTGCCCCTACTTCTAAATGAATATCCATATTTATGAATTCTTTTTACTCTTATCATTATATTGCTCTAGAAAGGATTATACCATTTTGACATCCCATCACTACTGTCAGAGAGTGCATATTTTCTTCATCACATATAAATTGTCATTATTTTTAAAAATAAAACTTGGTTTTTAATAAAGTACAATACTTTATTATAAATAAATGAGAAATGACAAATAAATGCAAAGTTAAAGATAAAACCCATCTATTAAATGTGTACCCAAAGTTATCAGAGTTAAAGACCTAAGTTCATTTTGTTTTCAAATTTAGGGTCATAACCCATACGTGACCAGTGAAATCAGTTTCAAAAGTATTTTTACTTACTTTTCAGAAAGATTGGCCCTGACCTAACATCTGTTGCCAATCTTCCTCTTTTTTTTTTTTTTTCTCCCCAAAGCCCCAGTACATAGTTGTGTATGCTAATGGTGGGTCATTCTAGTTCTTCTATGTGGGATGCCGCCACAGCATGGCTTGATAAGCAGTGCATAGGTCGTGCCCAGGATCCGAACTGGGGAATCCTGGACCTCCAAAGTAGAGAGTGCTGATTAACCACTTGGTTACGGGACTGGCCTCTAGAAATGTTTTTAATGAAATAGAATAGAAGAAAAAAGAATTGAAAAGATGCAAAGCATCATATGGAATAAGCATGTCTTTGAAAAAAGTTTTTTTGTTGTAAACATGGATATGAATATGTAAATGTATATGTGCATGAGTCCAATATTATGATTTAAAATACATTCTTTATTATGAATCACAGCTCACAAATTATTTTTTGATCTCACTTGCTTCTGAATACCCCATTTCTCTGCTTTCATTGTTAGTTAAACTCCATGAAAGAGTTGTCTGTACTTGAAATTTCCAATTTGTCTTTGATTCTTCTCTATTAAACTACTTCAGTCAGAATAATGTTGTCCTAGACCGGTGCTCACTACAGTATAAGCTACATGAGGGTAGGGACTTTTTTTCAGTTGTTTAAGCACATAAAATAGTGCCTGGCGTAGGAGCCTCAGTAAATATTTGTTTCATGAATAAAGAAATGGGCCAAATGATTATTCCTTAGTGGTTTAGTATCTTTTAAAATCAGCAAGATTTTAGAGCTAATTATAGCAATATTTATTAGAATCAAAACTCATTATTCAAATTTTGCACTGAGGAATTTGGGTATATTTAGTATTTTATGTATTTTCATTACTTAAGGTATTTTTATCTATTACAATATCAGATCTACCTTGTAATTCTAATTTTAAATTTGTAATTAATTTATATTTTTTAAACCAACTTTATTGGCGTAAAGTTTATAGTCAATAAAAATCACACATTTAGTCAAGATATTACGCTTGTTATTTAAAACAAATTTTACTATGTTTATCACAGTATTGAAACTTTTAAAAGGATTTAGGTTTAGACATATTTATAAGAGTTTTGTTTTCTGTGTGTTTTTTTTGTTTTTAGACTATAAAGATTATTTTTTAAACCTGGGGAGACTTTGTTTATTGGGTCAGAAAATTGAGATACTTAAAGAGAAAAGAATGTACATCACCTTTAAATATAGTTTAAAAAGATTTAACTGCCAAGTTTATAAACCAGTCCAAAAATTTGTCAAACACCTTTAAAAGCAAATGATAAAATTGGATACTAATAGATTTTAAAGCAGGAATTCAAAGATCAAAGAATTGTGTTTCTGAATGTTTACCAGAAATAATTTTAATTTTGTAACCAAAGAAATTTCTATGTAATTTTCTGTATACAAAATTTTCCCTTATGGATATTAAAAAGCTCCATTAATGTAGGAGAAGATTTCAATTTACAAGCGTGAGAGGGGATAACGTATAGAGTTGGATCCCTGAGGCATGGAAGGGAATGGGGTCTGGAGCTGACCTGAAGTTGACAGCTAGCTCTTTCTTCCACTTTAGCACTCCTAAAGGGGTCCTAAGATTCATCTAGCTGCTTGACTGAAGTTGATGGAGGCTTTTTTCTTGTGTCCTATACTACTGATATTTCCATTCTTTTCTTCCATCACCTTCTGGCTGGCTTCCTGCTTTTTATGATATCACTGACAGTTGCCCTGTGTCCTTGGTTTTTTTCCCATATGCACTGGGCAAAAGCTTCTTTTTCTAGAGACAATTTACTCAGTCCCTGAAACTATTAGTGTAGTTTTGTAGGAGGAAGGCAAGGACATTTGTCCCAGAGGATAAAATATGTATGAACTTTTTAAAGGTGAGTATAAGCTCCAAGACAGAGAAAAAGGACAGGATGAACATTCCAGAGCAGAAAAGCAATAAGAACAAAGGCACTGAGGTATGAGACTGGCATGGCAATTTAACATAACATAAGATAGAATGTATTTAATAGTAGTGATAGTAATTTTAAAAAAGTGAACACATCAAGGTATAACTATATATTTTTACATAATTTACACATTTATTTTTTTGGTCCTAAACTCATATATTTTATCTACTTAAACTTCAAGTTTCCAAGAGTGTTTGTTCTGGAATTTTCAAAACAATATGAAAAATAACCCACAAAAGAGTTGATAATAACAATGGGACACAAACATCATGAGGTCAGCAGCTATATGTGCCGAATAATCATTGTAATATATCAGAAGAATATATTCTTATGGCGGGATAAAGGTCTCTGAGCTGAATGGTAGGAAGCCAGCCTTCTTGGTCTGGCTAAAACCACTTCACTGATGCATATCGTTAATCTTTCTAAAATAAAAAGTATAATAACTGATTTAAGGATATTGTGAATATAGAATGAAAGAGTAGGCAAGAGAAATTTTTAGGTGTGCAGGGAATAAATATGATTGTTGTTTAGCCCTGTATCCTCTATTGATTCATAGAAGATACTGCCATGCTATTTGGATTTACAAAGCAGAGGAAATATTCCATTATAATCTGCAAATGAAATAAAGGTAGGTAAATCACAGAAGACATCCTCTGTCAGATGAAACAATAGGTCTTAGGTTACAAAAGTGGAAAGAATACCCAAGCAGTAACATGAAAACAAGACATGCACAGTGATTCTAGAAACTGATTTGTTAGAATTTTAAACTTGTGGATATGGTATTTCTTTAAACAGATGTGTCTGAACTCTTATTGGCTTCCAGAGACATTGAACATCTTTGGAGAACACAGGACTTTCTTGATGGCGTCTTTCATGTCTCTGTTCCTCAGACTGTAGATTATCGGGTTGAAAAGCGGGGCAAGAACAGCAAACATCAGTGCAATGGCCTTGTCCAGTATTGGTGGGAATGTAACAGAGAAGCGCAGGTACATGAGTGTCACACTGCCAAAAAACAGCAAGAAAATAGTAATGTGAGCCACACAAGTGGAGAATGCCTTCTGACGGCTTTCACCAGAGGGAATCCTCATGATCACAGTGATGATTCTTAAATAGGAAAGGGTAATGATGGAGACAGAAGTCAGAATGGAAATAGCATGTATCACATCTTCAACCAGAATCATGGATGTGTCTGTACATGCCAAGTGCAACACAGGTTCGAAGTCACAGAAGAGTTGATGAATTTGGTTGGGGCCACAGAATGGAAGAGTAGACATCCATACAATCTCTGGCAGCAACATAAGAAAGCCAAAGATGCAAGAGCCAATGGAGAGCTGGGTGCATAGTCGAGGGGTCATAACGATTGCGTAGCGCAGGGGGTTGCAGATGGCAACATACCTGTCGATGGCCATCGCCGTGAGGACTAGAGCTTCTGTGACCCCAAGTGAGTGGAAAAAATACATCTGCAGAAGGCAGCCAATGAAAGAAATGGTCTTCTGTTCACTGACCAGGTTAGAGAGCATCTTGGGGATGGTCACTGTGGTGTACCAAATCTCCAGGAAGGAGAAGATGCTGATGAAGTTGTACATGGGGTTGTGGAGACGTGTATCTAGCTGGACAGCAAAGAAGATAACGAAATTTCCAACAATAATGAAAATATAAATAAAGAGCAAAGGAATGAAGAAGAAAAGGCTTCCATTCTCAAACTGAGGGAAATCAGAGAAATAAAACTCAGTCACCATTGTCAGAGTCTCTTGATCCATGTTTTCAGCTGTTTCACTTTTTGGCTGATAGAATAAAATACAACAGTTAGAACTCTGTACATTCAAATAATAAATAGGAACTTCCTTTTTAAGCAATTAAAACAGCCTTAAAATGAAATTTATCAAATAAAATATACTATGTGAGTTGCTTTGCAAATTATAAAGTGAACCCGTTTAATTTGAAAATATGTTTTAGTAATTATTACAACTATGTTATCAACTATTCTGTTAGGTAAGCAAACAGTTTTACTAGTTGGACATATAAATTGGCACAAATTCTCCTGACTGTCACTTTGGAAATCTTTATTAAGAACTGTGAAACTACTTAAAGTCACCTTTCACCATATAACCTAACAAAAATGCTTAAAATATTAAAAATTATGTACAAAAATATTCACTGAAACATTTATTATAATAGCAAATTAGAAACAACTTAAGTAGGTAGTCTTTTTTTAAGATGAAATATTGGAGACACAAAGTGAATTATGACAAATGATCTCATCTGTGGATAAAAATAAGATCATTTTAAAGTGGGCATCTCCAAAACTAGAGTGCAGGTGTCATCTTTGCTTGGTCAGCCTCATTATTAACAATCAAGTAAAAAGAAAAAGCCAAATATCGTGCTGAATTTCATTTACTTTAAAACACAACAGCTTAGACACAAGTGATACATCTGTGTGTGTAAATTAATCTTACTCTGTACTCCAAAGAGGGTTAGTTAATAGTTGAAGTCTAGTAATCTAGAAATCACACTATGGAAGTGGTTTGGTAACATTTGAAAGACTTTAATTAGCAGTCAACATTCAGAGGCAGTTTTGGCAAGATCTTCAAATATCCCTATCTGTATCCACACTGTGGGGCTTATTGAGTATCATAGAGCAGATCTTCTCGACTTTAGCACTAATGACATTGATAGCTCTGTGCACTATGGACCAGATCATTCTTTGTTGGGAATGGGGAGTAGGAAGCTTTCCTGTGCTTGTTACGATGTTTAGCAGCAACCCTGGCCGCTACCTACTAGATGTCAGTAGCACAGATCCTTCCCCAGTCATGTTAACCAAAAACTCTCTAGAAATTGCCAAATGTCCCTGCAGGGGAGGAGTGGGAGCAAAACTGCCCCAGTTGAGAAGCATTGGCATACAGAAGTTTAGAATTTGGGGGGGGGGGGGGGTAGTGGTGAAAAACCAGGTGACCAAAATTTGTGGTTTGGGCCTGAAATATACCTAAACCCTTGCTTGAAGGGACACAAGAATTTGATGACCCAAACTGTCTATTAAGCTTGGACAGTACAATAGCCCGTGATTCATTCATTTCTATGTTCCTCCCTTCACAGAGGATCCATCACCTGATCTTACCAGAAGATTGGCTTTTCTATCAGTGAGAATTTTGTTACATTTGTCTTTGATAGAAAGCTTCAATCATTCTACTAATCAGTGAGCCTAAAGAATAGAGAGGTGTGACTTCCATGAGCTTCCAAGAACAGATTTGATAATAGTTTTTGTGCCTGCTTGCTAATAAATGTTTGTATGCATGCAGAATTCTGAGTCTTGCCTTCATTGCATTCAACTGCCTGGTAGTGATATTAGTGGAGATGAACCTCTGTAATTACAGGACATGCTAGAGGTGTTAACCAGTGCTGCAAAGGTAATCATATTGCAACACAAAAATGCATCAAGTCAACGTATTGTACACCTTAAATGTACTCAATGTTACATGTCAATTATATCTCAATTTTAAAAATTAAAATAAATAAAGAGAGAAAGCTACTGATATCTATGAAAAAGAGTCCATTGTGAACTAGCCATAGATACAAAAGACAAAATTATTTTGAAACCAGAATACCAGAGGCTTTAAACAAACAGAAAATCAGTTTGTTGTACAGCAAGCAAATATTTTTATAGTATTTTTTTTTTGCTCCTGCTTTTTATAGACACAGCAGAATGTTAAACCTGTATTGAAACAAGAGAAATATGAAGGACAAAATTTCCCTTTGTTTTTGTTTGGGAAAATTTCTACCTAAAAAAAAAACAAACGTTCACAATAAAAAATAATTTATGCCCTGATCATTTCTTGTCTTAATGATTCTTATCTAGATTCATTATCTTCAGACTTTTTTCACTCCAATTCATCCTTTACTCAGCTACTGGAGTGATTTTTCTTAAATGAACAGCTGTCAATCCTCTGTCTGAAAACAGACTTTTTAGTGGCTCCTAGAGGCTTTCAAATAAAATCTGAACTTGTAAGCATGACAGATAATTTGAATGTATATGAGGTTTTAAATCATTGTAATGTAATGATATCCCAATGTCATTTGGCTTTATTATGCCCAATATACTTCCTCCACATGACAGAAAAGAACACCCTTGTGACGTTCTCAATTCCTCTTTCAGAGGCAGCAGAGAGATACAAAAGGGAAACTGGCATTATGCTCTATGATAATTACATTTTGGAATTAGAAAATTAAAACTGAAAAGGGAAAAATTGTCAGGTCTTCAGGAACTCGAGTCTTTAAAAAAGAAAGAAGATACATATGGGAAGGCAATTTGAAGCAGACAGTTGAGCCCAAAATTATATCTGACATATTTTCTGGAAGAAGGGATAGCCCAGAATCTCAACTAGTAAGCTACAATGGTTGTTATGGTATGTCTTTATTCTTTTTTTTTTTACTTTTTTTTTTTTTTGCTGGGGAAGGCTGACTCTGAGCTAACATCAGCTGTCAGTCTTCCTCTTTTTGTATGGGACCCACCACCCCAGCATGGCGACTAACAGACAAGTGCTGTAGGTCCATGCCCAGGAACTGAACCGTGCCAAATTTAACCACTAGTCCACCAGGGCTGGTCCTGGTATTGCTTTATTCTTAAGGGCATTTTATGGCTCCACTAAATAAAATGCAAGCATACTAGATCACAATTTAATCCAGAAATCAGTGGAGGTGCAAAGAGTCAGAGAGCTAGTGGCTCAGACAAAATTTAATTCAATATTTCTCCCGGTGTTTGTTATCGTCTGACCATCTCTAGCTCTAGGACACAAATTCACCACAAATCCTCAATCCTGAGCTATGATCTTTTCCCTTACCTCACACACCTGCAAAATCTCAACAAAGTTTCCACAAGTCTTTCTTCATTGAACCAGAAAAAATTCTGGTTCTGTGAGAATCTTCCTCAATATATAACAAACAAAGCCACTCACCCATATGCCAAAGTACAGAGCCAGTTCTGCCTCCCATACCCACCTTTTCCAGAAACCTAGAGGGCCCCTCCTGTCTCCCAAATGTCTTCATCTTCATTGTTCTGCAGTCCAACAAGTAGGAAGATTTATAACCACAACCACAACATGAGACTTCTCAGGGAATAGTCAAATGGGAGGAAGACTTTCTTCTGATGGGTTCTCCCCCAGTGCCAGGAGGAAAGCAACCCCGGGTCCCAAGCCGTTAATTAGAGGAACACTTGGTGCCTTGCTCCCTTTTATGAGGTTGCCACACCCGTGGGAAGATAGTTCTTTGAGTCAGGCTAGAAATCAGATGGGAAGGGATACATGGTTTTCCTTTCTGTCGAAGGGGTAAAAGAAGTGTTTATATACAAAGTGTCTGCTGAGACAGAGGAAAGATAAGGAACAAGAGAATCAAGCTAATGAAGTGTGATTCAAAGGCAGAAGGATTTTCTCCACTCTTTATTGAAGCAGCTTCAGAGCAGTTCAGGGATAGCATAGCTCAATTCTGAAGTATATTATAGAAGATTCTGCCAGCAGGCGCCCAACATGACTCAGCAGAACTTCTTCAGAAGGATCCAGAGACTCAAAGGGCAATTAGTAGTAGTGGCAGGAATGAGGGGCTCCCATGAGATTTCACGGGCTTCAGTGGTCCCAGCGGCAGATGCCCCCAAGGAGCTGGAGTCAGGAAAGGATTTGAGGACAGTTTTTCTTGCTACATGAAAGCTGTATTGATGAGCACACGTGAGCTAACCCTCGCAGAGACGTGGGAATCAAAAATTTCCCCACATAATAAGTGAGGAATACAACCAGAAAGATGCTTTTCTTTCTTTCTCTTCATCTGCTTTTTTTTTTTCTTTTGGTAAGGAAAATTCACCCTGAGCTAACGTCCATTGCCAATCTTCCTCTTTTTTTGTGATGAGGAATATTAGGCCTGAGCTAGCATCTGTGCCAATCTTCCTCTATTTTTTGTATGTAGCTTTACCTTGGGTGAAGCCAAGGAAAAACAAATTCCCAACACATGATTTTTTTTTTCTTCTCTCACAAAAAGAGATATAAAACAGGCATGAAGTGTTAAATATCTGATGGAATGATATCAGTGGATATGGAAAGAAAATATAACTTGAAAGCAGATTTGACTTAAAATAAGCTGATAGGACACAGATATAGGGTGCAAAAAAGAGCCAGAGCAGAAGTGGCTCTGAATGACTAGATTTAAAAGATGTGATATTTAAAAACAGATACTTAATAAGCATTTGATGAATGAATATACAGTTGAATAAATGAATGAATGAACTGATTTTAAGAATCAAATAGTGTCCCAGGAGTAGACTAATCTGTAGTCATTTTCATGTTTACCTGCTTTGCTTTGGTTTCACTGGAAGAGTCTTACCATCTGTCTAAGATAAATTCCTCCCCATGCACACCGAAGTTCTGTGTCTCAGGTCATCTCATCTAAAGACATTGCTTCCTCAGTTGTCCTACTTACCTATATATCCTCAAATTCTTTCTCTCATGTAACCTGTTCATTCTGTTTATATATATTTGAATATAATCATCTTAAAATATATACTCTTCCTCTGTTTATTGTTGCTTTAAGGCTACCATGCTGTCTTTATTCTCTCCTTTATTTTCTTTAAAGAGTAGATTATCTTTTATCGCTATTTATTTTTTCACTTTTTTACCTCTCATTCACATGAACCTATGACCCCACTTAACAAATAGAACATTTTCAGTAACTTTTAAATTCACTAAATGCTCCTCCTCAATCCAATTATTTTTCCTCTCATGTT